TGTGGCCCATGGTTAATGAGGGTGTCATGTGGCCAGCACAATGACCAACAGCCTTTACTTTTCCCCAACTAATGTCAGGTACCCATTAGAGCTAGTTAGACTCAGAGGAGCCTAAAGATTCCAAAATGAAAAATCCCTGTCTTCACCAGGATTTGAACCCGGGACACCAATTCAGAAGCTAAGTGCTTTACCACTAAGCCACCGCGCCTTCATACAACAATTTAAGTTTGTGATAAATTCTAAATTCCATTTGTGTTCAGTGTTGAGTGTTTGTGTCACTAGACATACATCTAGAATTACTGCTTTGTAATAATCACTCAGCACAAACTGTTAATTAACCATTTAAGAAACTTATGCTTAATTTGTACCATAATAATTGTAGTAATTAGTTTCATTGACTTTTTCTTTAGGTGGTGGCATGACACTGGCCCCGAAGAGCTCTCTGATCTTCCTCTCAACTTTGGCTTACATCACATGGATGTTTTGTTTCAAAAACATTTTGTAAATTTGTTAAAAGATAAATGTCATTTAGGTCTGTAGAAATTTCATTTAGATGTCTGTAGAAATTTCATTTGGATATCTGATTTGTTAAGTTTAAAGAAAAAAGAAATTCTCACAAGTCAATTGAATTACTTGATTGTTTTGTCATTTGGTTTCTAGTATAAGATGTTAATTTTTTATTGTATTTCATTTTTCACAATTTGATAAATAAAAATTATATAGTGATATAATTTTAATGATGTGAGTATGATTGTGAGTATACAAAATATATTTGTTATCAGCTAGATATTTGGATTGTATGGATGTAAAAGCAGGGTTTCTTAAAAAAAATGATTTCTGAGTGAAATTTTGTTAATACACACAGTTATTCAAATAATATATGTGCATTGCATTTTTATTGGTAGATGTTAGCTCAATATAATGTTCTCTATTGACAGTGTAAGACCCAAGGTAGCATATTAGATTGAAATTTTGTGATTAAAAGACCCATTATATGTAAATATAGTTTACATTTGCAACTAAATGTGAACTCATTATCTTTGTTTTATGAGCACAATTTTACTTGACATAATTTTACAATGTTATAAAAAAGAAAGTTTGTGTTCTCTTGTGTGCTTTATTTGTATATTAGTGATTTTTTACAAAAATCTTTCTGGACAAAAGTTAGCCAAAACTAATTCTGTAAGAAATTATTGTTATATCTTAGAAATTCATGTACCTTAATTGTAATGTCATCTTAGATCTTTATTTTCCAATGTTATGACACTTAATACAAAATTTATACTTGTACACACCAGTTTTAATAGGAAAATTTAATGATTGTTCTGTTCATAAAATATGTTTTTTTGCATAATTAAGTGTAGGGTTATTGGAAAATAACTTTGAAATTCAGGATTTTAGACCAAATAAGGAACATCATAAGTTAAACAATTTTTTTGTTCATAGTGGGAAATGAAGCTGTAGGTCATATTGTCTTCATTTATGCTCTACAAGCACACCAAGAAAAAGTAACTTTGTTTTTAGGTTTAAAAGATGAAATGATATTTTGTCATTGCTAATGTACAATTATTCCAAGGCTTCCTTCATGAAAATTGAGATCTTAGTGCTAATTCTGATTTAAGACTTCCTTTTTATAAATTAACAGTACAGTAGATAATATTTGTCATTTGATATTTTGTCATTGCTAATTTACAATTATTCCAAGGCTTCCTTCATGAAAATTAAGACCTTAGTGCTAATTCTGATTTAAGACTTCCTTTTTATAAATTAACAGTACAGTAGATAATATTTTAAGCGTATTCATTTATTGATCACAAGTTCAATGCAGTGGTTTAATTTTTTTTTTTTAAATACCTAAATATAACTCATTGGCTATACACTAGTGTTTTTTTTTTAAACTCCCTTTTCATTATTAATCCTATAATTATCAGAAAGATTAATAAGGGAACAGCATGATTTCTCATTTTCGGAAACTACTGGTACATTTAATGTTTATATATGTATATATCGCCTAATTATTATTATATATAATGTCCTTCTGTTGGTTACACATTATTTTTTAGTACTGCTTAATGAAATGAGGTCTATTCAAGTGGTGCTTGGTAGAAAGTACTTGGTTCTCTACATTGTATTTATTTCAGATTATATGACTGATTAGAAATTATATTTTTGATGGTAGTGTACTGGCACAAAAAAATTATTATAAATACTCTTAAGAAGTGCACTTTTTAAAATGTATAATTTGATCCTAAACCAATAGGAAATTTCTAAGAAGTTGCATCATCTTGTTTATTAAAAAACATTGATAAAAAATTTGTTTGCATGGATTAAAATAATTATAATTTCAAACAATAATCTGTAAATCAAGACAATATTGATGTAAAAGGAAAACTTGTATATAAATATTTGCATGTAATGTATACACACTATTCTTAGTTAAAATTAACATTCCACTCAAACTAACTTCCATTTACTTTTTCTTTACATATTTTGATCCTTTATAGATCTATACACTATTGTTTTTATATTACTATCTCAGTGACTTTGTAATTTATTAAGACATAAAAATACCAGGCAGCTCTTGACAACTGTTGTAAATAAACAATAATCAAATGATGTCGACTCTTGTCTTCATTGTTTGGTTTTGTCAGCATTGTTTTGTTATCTTGTCTCTTTATCTTGTTTGTTAAATCAGCATTTCAAACTTAATATTAGTCTCTTTAGCATTTATATATATATAAATAAATATATATATATGAGATTATTCTCACTAATAATGGATTAATTGCCTTTTTGTTTACACTACTAGGACTAATGTGTTCATCTGAAGCACAAAGGAGAATCTTAATTCATTCCCTTCTAGGATTCAATTATTTTTTAATGCACCTAATTATGTAATGCACAATTTTGTTGAACATTTTAATTTGATTGTATAGAACAAAAAACCAAGATGTGTAGTAGCTAATGGACTGTTGAATATTTATTTGTTGGTCATTAATTACAGAGGAAAGGACATTTAATATAAAAACTAGACTAAAAGAAAGAGATCACCTAAAAATATTTAACTCTAGGCTGAAAATTTCTGTTTTGATTGTGTTGAAAAATTATTGGAAAAATGTTACACTTTGTATATTTTAATAGTATTTTTTATTAATTAAATAAAAAAAATAGCCTATGTTATTGTTACCAGACTTCTATTATGTCACCCTATGTTACTTTTATATTTTTTATTTATAACCGATTTTTCAACCACTTCTACTTATCCTATTGTCATTAAATTTTGCATACAAACTCATGATAGATGACAACATAAAAATAAATGGAAAAAAAAATCAACCAATTAGTTAATCAATAAAGAAGCAATTGTGTTTTTGTATAGAAAATATACTAAGCTAAAGGGAGATAAGTCTGTGGTAGTTAAACAATAAAACTACACACTTTGTTTGAATTCTCTTTATCTTAAATTCTTATCTTGTAAAATACAAATCTTACTTCAAAAAAGAAGATGAGTACATCCTACACCTGTCCCTATGTCAATGTAGTTATGCATGTTAATCAATGACTTAAACTGTGCCATGTCATTGGTTTTCCTGGCAGACTCTGGCAACCCACTAATAGCACCCAGGGAAAAAGGAGCATTTGTAAAAATTTGTCCTAGCATATGAAATGATGAATATGCCTTTATCTTAGTGCCTGAGTATTTTATTAAATTTTGTTCTTGTATTTGAAGATTGTGGTTCAGTGTTTTATGTATAATTGCTACTTAACTTTTGAGTCTTCTAAAGTTAGTGATTTTACTAAAGGTGTTACTCTAGTCAAATGTGAATATTCGTTTGCTATGAATCTCACTGCTCTATTTTGTGTCTGTTCCAGTTTCTTAATGTTTTCTTGAGTTGAGGGTCCCAAACAGAGGATGCATATTCTATTATTTTAAGCACGCTACGGCTGTGAACTTTTTCAAATGCCATAGAAAAATCTAATTAAATATCTATTTGCTCATTATTATCTATGCCTTGTGAAAAATCATCAATTAGTCCAATTAGTTGTGTTTCACATAATCTATATTTCCTAACGCCATGTTTGTATGGAGTAAGGACATTATGTTTGTCTAAGTGGTTTATGATGTTGCTACATATTATGTGTTCTAGGTTTTTAAATGTGATGCCGGTTAGTGATACTGTTTGGTAGTTTCCTGGGTCAGATTTTTTTCTTCTTCAAATAGGCAATTGGCATTAGCTTCGTTCCAGTCCCTTGGTACTCTGCCCTGACCAATAGAGGACTGAAAAAGTATTCTGAACAGTTGCTAGCTTATTGCTTAGCTCTTTAAGTAATATAGCTGGAATACCACCAGATCCAGAAGCTTTAATCAGTTTTATGATGGCTAATAGCATGCTATAAGCATGAAAGTAGCGCTATAATAATAATAATAGTTTTTGGATTCCTTTTCTTGTATATCTATAATATATCTTGTTTTTGACTCAAATTAAGTAGCTAATATTTCTCCTGAATGAATGGTATGGACTAATTGTGACACGCAGTGTTTGGGTTATAAACCTTCTTTGTTATGTTGCTTGAATAGCAATATTCTTGAAAAGACAAATAATTTAATCATAGTCCAGGTGACTTCAATACATCAGTGGTCAAATATGATTGTCAAAATTTAACACTAAAAAAGGCAAAAATATATTGTAAAACAAATCTTATATTAAAACTCATTAAAACGCAAAATATTTTTAGTTTAAAGTGAATTAAATTTCAAAACCAACACTTTTTATTTTAGAAATTATTTTCTTTTAAAGGCTATAATATAAGCTTTGTTTAAATTTTTTAAAATTATACATTATTTTTATACTGCTTTGAGAAATCACCATATTGATTAACAAGCACAGTTCTTGGTTTTAAATAGTATAAGTCCTTACATTTTGTAATGTGTGAAGTTAAAAAAAAAAATGAAACCAAAATAAAAGCAAAAAAAAAACAAAAAAAAAACAACTCAGAGATAATTTTGGCTGTAAAAGTTTATTGATAACTGAAAATTGCATGCTCTTTTAAAGGAACTAATAAATGCATAATAAAGACAAGTGAATACTGTTAAACTGAGCTCTCTGACATTGAATAAGCCAATCAGGCAAGCTATACACTTTGATCAATCTAACTATAGTAAAAATAAAAAACAAATACTAAGGAAATATGTTCCATAACAATATAAGTAAAGTGAGAAAAAAAAACATTGGTATTCAATGAGAACCTTTTAAGTTCCACTTTATACTGTAATATGATTATACGAGTTATTACCCAAAAATTGGTATGGACAATCATAAATAAAAAAAACAGACTTGTGGTGACTAGCTAACTATTCACTCTTAGTACAATTGTGCTAGTAGGGTAAATCAATTAAATATGGAAGATGTCTAAATTCCAAAAGAAAAAGAAAAGATTTTTTTTTTGATTATTTAAAAATTTCTTGTTTTCAAAATGTGTTCAGAGCACACAAAAGAAAAAGTGTTAAAAATATGCACACACACAAAATTTTAACAAGCAAATATTCAGCACATATAGAATTATCAGTAAACATGATTGAAATAGTTCCTATCAAGGTTAAGTACTAACATAAAACATTTGAATAATTAATCAATTAATATTGACAAGGAGATTAAAAAATCGGGGGTGGGGGGGGGGGGGGGTGGAGGAATGAAAAAAAAAATTTTGATTTGAATTAAACAGATCAAGCTGGTGCCTATATATCACATTGAGCCAAACAAACATGGCAGTAAGTTAAACAAAACATGATTTAACAAAATTCTAGTCAGAAAGTATGATTTTTTTTAGCAGGCAATACCTTCAACAATTTTATTATAAGTAATGACAACTAATGGCAGTAGCAACATATAACAGAAAAAAGCCCAAAATAAAACAATAGTTGTTCATTATTGAAACACACGCACACACAAATAATGTCTCCACACTTGCATGTCTGATTTTGATTGAGACCTATACAAAACAATGGTGAGTAGCATTCACTACAGACTGCAACTACCATTGAAAACGACTTGCACACACATTTCAAAAATACATCAAGCCCCAGCAGTTAATAAAGTAGTTAAAAAAAACAACTATTGCTCTAGCTCCAGATTGAAATTTGTAGTTAACAAGCAGCTTCTCACAACACTAATAAGATGTCTATTTAAACACAAACAACTAGAGTTGTTGACCAAAACAAAAAAAGCCAAAATGCTGAACTGGAAGAGACTCTACAGATGGCACACACCTCAGCAAATAATTGTATAAATAGCAATTAGTGTGCAATTAGACAAAAACAAAACACTTTTGAGGGTCAAGTCAATAAGGCAATTAGGGGGGGGCAAAAGATACAGCACATGGATCTTGTTGAATAAACTGGAGGCTACAATAAACAAACAAATGAGAAGATGAAATGTTTTGAATATGACAGTGAACAACTCTGACTGGCGTGCTGGTTTAAGACTGGAATTCTTTCAGTTGTATACAAAGTCGTACAGATATTTTAAACACTCAAACATTGTAACAATAAAACTGAACACAAACGTCAACGGATTAAACGTATTTATATATATATATTTATATTCCCTTAACGTAACAAAACACTGATGTGCTTTTCCCGTAGCAAAATAAAAATGTAAGAAATTCAATGCCATAAAATGAACAAAAAAAAAAAAAAAGTAATTATCTAGCTACATCAAAACTAGTCCTATTCGGCAAGTTCAGTTTTGACACAGTTGACCCTACCTAGACAATAGTATTAACAAAATAATTACACAAACATGGTTATTTTTTTTTTTAGTATTTTTTTTTATACCTACTGTTCAATTGTTGTTGTTTTTTAAATTTCCTAGATAAACATGTACAAAAAAATGACCCAGATAAAAAAAAAATCTTTGAAATTGATCAAATTTTTCCTTCTGGCCTAAAAACAGAATGTTTAATCCTAATTTAGTTTATGCTCTAATATCTTGAAAGTTTTCATTTATTTCTCAGTCTCAGATTCAGAAATAAGCTTTTTTCGCTGAACTTCCTTGATACGATTCTCCTAAAAATAAAAAAACACAAGATTGAAATATAGGATCAGTCCTTCTCCCAGCACATGACACACTAACTCAGGCCTAAATTGCATTCGCAACTGTACCATTTAATTAACCTAATCAGATCAAATTTATCATTAGCTGAAGAATGAACAAGAGAACCTGTTGAAATCTGGGCTGGTTCATCAAGTATTTAATGTTTTTTTTTTAAGTGTGAAGGAATCTGATATTTGTCATATATATATATATATATATATAGAGAGAGAGAGAGAGAGAGAATTTAGAGGGAGATGATCTAGAATTAGATTTAATTAAACAGTGGTGATGAAGATAAGATTAAAAAAAAAAAAAGAAAGAAAAAATATGGACGCTTAAATAAACATGTTTATGAATAAGTTTGGCGACAGGGAGAGAGGTTTCTACCACTTAAATATTATATCATCTTTATAAGTAAATACATATAAATATAGTTAGAATTATCTTTTAAAATTTTCCAACAACAACAAAATTATTTTGTTATATTATTATTATTATTATATATGGGAGGTACTGTGGCTGAGCAGTAAAGCGCTTGGCTTCTGAACCTGAGTTCTAATCCTGGCATTTTTTTTATTTTGGGATCTTGAGGCGCCTCTGAGTCCACCAAGCTCTAATGGGTTTCTGACAGTAGCTGGGGAAATGTAAAGGCGGTTGGCCGTTGTGCTGGCCATATGACACCCTCTTTAACTGTAGGCCACAGAAACAGATGACCTTTACATCATCTGCCCTATAGACCACAAGGTCTGAAAGGGGATCTTTTCTTTCTTCACACACTCACATATATATTAGTCTTTACAATATACACCAGGCTTCTAGCAAAAATTTGTCAACCTTCATTTTAACAAATTTCTCTATATGAGCACAATTTGTTTATATGTACAGAAAGTTCAAAATAACAGTGTATGGAGGTGAACACCCATTTGCAAGGACACTAACTTAATATCATAGGTACCCACCATCACATGGGATCAGTAGACTGACATATTCAACCACACAACCCATTCCATGTGATCTAATAATTAACTTGTTCAGCCACACCACCCATTCAAATGTGATCTAATGATTAATATGTTCAACCACACAACCCATTCCATGTGATCTAATGATTTACATGTTCAACCATACAACCCATTCCATGTGATCTAATGGTTTACAAGTTCAACCACACAACCCATTGCATTTGATCTAATAACTTTTATGTTCAACTACACCACCCATTCAATGTGATCTAATGATTTACATGTTCAACCACACAACCCATTCAAAGTGATCTAATGATTTACATGTTCAACCACACAATCCATTCAATGTGATCTAATGATTTACATGTTCAGCCAATCTCTCCTACAAATTTCTGAGCTACATTTTATCTAATGACATATGTTCAACCACACAACCCATTCAATGTGATCTAATGATGTACATGTTCAACCACCCAACCCATTCAATATGAAATTATGACTTACGTGTTCAGCCACAAAACCCATTCCATGTGATCTTATGACTTACATGTTCAGCCACACCACCCATTCCATGTGATCTAATGACTTACATGTTCAGCCAATCTTTCCTGCAAATTTCTGAGCTGTTCCTCTCTGTTTTTCAGGGCATTTTCCATTTTCTGTACAAGCTGTTCTTGCAGATCATCTGTTGAAGGACCTCGATTCTCACTTGCTTGACAAACTTCATTAATGTGGTTTGCCTACAGACAATTAACAAATGTTTACCTTAGTATGGTTAAACAAGCTAAAGAGGTACCATTTGAAAAAAAAATCTGTCATAAATATCCTATAAAGTTAAAGCAAAAGAAGGAGGTGCGTTTGGCCTTCAAACCGGAGAGTCATGGATTTAAATCTTGGGATTTTTTGGGCGCTTCTAAATCCATAGGGCTCTTATGGGTACCTGACATTAGTTGGGGAAAAGTAAAGGCAGTTAGTCATTGTGATGGCCACATGACACCCTTGTTAACCATGCGCCACAGAAACAGATGACCTTAACATAATCTGCCCTATAGACCACATGGTCTGAAAGAAGAGCTTGTTTTTTTAAAGAAAAAAAAATTACTACTTAATTTGGATCAGTTGCTTCATTTTTATGTGTCTGTTGCAAATTTATTTTCTTTACAATAGCAATAGTGCAAAACTGATTCCCCCTTTTTTAAAATTAGCAACTAAAATTAACTGATAATAAACTAAATACATATTTAATATATCAGAAAAAATCTAACTAATTGAAATTAAACTCATTTGTTTAAAACAGCAATGATCTTCAATCATAGCACATTAGCTATATTATAATCCATTTTCACCAGATATATAAACAAGTCTGCATCAACCGCTTGGAAGCTTAAATTAAGTATCTAAATCCACAATAAAGATATACAAATATGTAAATAAAAAGATGTTGAACAAAAGAACAACTTAAATTCATTGATAAAATTATAAAATAAAAATCAACCTGATAAAATACATTTTTTAAATAAAGCTATCTTTGTTTTAAGCACCATCTCAATACTGTGAGAATGTTGTTTTAAATATTTAAACATATTTGTATAGAGTAAAAAAAGAGCTTCATAATAATTTTTTTTTTGTATTTTCATTTAAATCTCTAGTGCCAAAATGCACCGACCAAGAATATGTTTATTGTATGGGAAATAATGAAACAGTTCTCTGTCATCAGTTCATGTATGTACTGATAAAGGCGAGAGATAATAAAAAATATAAAAATGTAATACATTAAGTAGATCTGCAATAATTCTTCAATGAACAGCTGGCCTATTTAGAAGATTTTTTTTTTTAAAATTATCAGTCTTCAATGTCTATGGCTGATGTAACACAGCCAAACAATGAGTGTGCAAACATTTTCAAAACATTTAATTAGTGACTGCTTATAAACTCATCAAGTAATATATATAAAAAAAAAAAAAAAAAAAAGCAAAACAATAAGGTAAAGTATAAACACTTAACACACATAGCAGCAATACTAGGCTAATCAGAAGACTGACACACTATGAAGAACACTGTATTGCTATTAAAATAGGAAAATAAATCAAAAAAATCAAATGGTGTGTACCTAAAAATTAGATGAATAAAATAGAACCCATTTTCACCATTTATGATATATTAAAGTGGATAATTTTATTATTTCTAATTGCATGTAACTCTAGGAAATAACAGTTGCTATTTAATAAAATCAATATCAATTACAGTAGATTTTTTTCTATAAATTTTTACTAATTTTGTATAGAATTTTTAAATACCCTATGTTCAGATTAGGCTATATATTTAAAGTATATGATAAAAGTTAATTGAGATATCGAAAATATTTATCTTACAGCTAATTTTGACATACTTTTGTTAAAAAAAACACACAATTTTTAAAATTTATAAGCCCATTCACTTTTTGCTAGATTTTATTGTGTGGGAAATTTCTTTGTTGTGTATCAGGGGCATGTATGGCAACATGAAATCCGTTGGGGAACATTAGGATTTACAGAACACCAAAAATTAATTTTTTTAAAACCCCCCTCCCCTAAAAGAAATTGTTTATATATTCCCAGGGTATGAATGTAAATAGTATGCATGTGTGCATGTGATGTGAACTGAACGTTATAAGTTTTTTGGTAGACAGGAGAATATTATTGAGTGGTCTGAGTTAGGTTTTGGAGCAGAAGAGGACCTTAAATGGTTTGGTTTCTGAGAGAGGAATGGTACAAATGTGTTTTGTGGTCACTGAGATATTTGCTATTTAAGTTCTTTTCTTGGAGCTGAAGTTTTGTCAATTGTTTTTAAGTGTAGCATTTTGAGATTATTTACTGATTATTTAATAGTTATAAAGTTTCTAAGATTATGATCTGCAGAGGTCGAAATAATTGAAGTAATAATTACCCCTACCAAGCCGTTCCACAAAGGAATCTGACAGTGTGATGAGTTATTTAAATGGAAGACAAAACCCGGGCAAAGATAAACCCCAAGTGGGTGGGGGGCATACTCTCAAAACTTTGTAACTGCCCTTTCAAAGACTTGATCAAGAATCTAGATAAAAAGTATTCTAATTCAAGAATCTAGATCTAGAATCTTATCTATCTAGACTGATTCAAATTAGTCTATATCTAGGATTAGGGTCTATAATAAAAAAAAAAAAAAAAAAAAAAAAAAAATAGAATTTTAACTTTGTGTCAATAGACCAATATGGTAGGTTTGCATGTTTAAAACCAATCAAGTCTTATAATTATTTTGCATTCTTCCAAAAATAGAAAAATAATAAAATAGGATTATGAAAAATTTTTGGAATTCTGAAAATTCCCATCACTGTTATAATTAATTTGTAATTTGATACAATTAGCATTTTAAAAAAACTTTTGTATAAGGAGATCTCTTCCAATTAGATTAGAAGTTTATTTCTCTCCTCCGGAACAATGCTTCTATTGTCGATGTTTTAAATTTTAGCTAAATGTTTTAATAGCTTAAAATTTTATTTTGAAAGGCTTCCCTTATGTTTTTACAGGATATGATAACCTTAAAGAGGTTTGTTTAGATTTTTTTTTTAAATGATGACATTTATGATGGTAGTGACCAGACGTCCAATTAATGTTATTTTTAA